AGACATTTCAAATCAAAAAGGAAAAGTCCAGTTGCCATGACTCAACTTCCAGATTATTGGTCTTACATTGAATAACCCTAACCCTTCATCAATAGGATTTGTGTCTCTCTGAAAAAATGGTAAAGTCTTTTGTTAGTCCATTTTTACACCTCGAAACATCAATCAAACCTAAAGTATTAGTCAGTTCAAAAAACATTTGGGGCAGTTTCCCTTGTGTTTCTTTAAGTCCTTTATCAGCTCATCTGTCCATTTGTGGTGTTACTACCCCATTGTAGTCTCAAATTATACACCAATACTGAAAACAATACGGAGAGTAAGTGTTCGGACAAATGTTTTAAAAAACTTGGCCTTTTCTTGGTGTGGAGTGTATAATCCCATTACAATAGATTCTATTCCTTGTAATTCAGTTTGCACAATTACATACCTGCCTTGATCATCAGCAAACAATAAGTGTGGATGTAATTGGGGTTTTATATACAGAACTACCCCATTAATTTTTTTCTTAGAATTAGCAGAAATAAATTCCAGACACAAAGTGTTATTTATTAAGTACTTTTTGTCAGTCTCTTTGATATGAGTTTCTTGCAAACTCATCATGATTCAGTTTTCTTCATAAATTGTTCTCTTTTGTGGGGAATTTGCCCCATTGACATTCCATGTCAAAATCTTGCAATCCTTCTGTTATGAAGAGGAAGTTCCAGGGATTTCCACTGTGGCTCCCAACTCCACAGCCTGTCCTTGATCAGCATCAGACCTCTTTTTATAATTTACTTTCAGACCCAATTCTTGTGGTAATTGATCTTTATCTTTTGAAAAGCCGTGTAGTTCCGATCCGTATCTTTCCAAAAAAAACCTTGTTCTTTAAGGACTGAATTTAGTCTATACCATTTGATTTCGAAAGGTAAAGGTAACCCCTTCCAGTTTATCCCAGCAAAAGGAAATATTATTTTGTTTCAGGAGACCTGCAAATATTTTTTGCATTTCCTTAATATTGTAATTGGAATTTCTCTGAATATTTGCATCCTTTCCAGAAAAGTTAAATCTGTGATGGTAATGTTTCTGAATTACTTGTTCGTTAATAGATTTTCTAAAAATTGAATCATAACATCTCTTAGCAATTTTCTTCCGGCTGCATATGCTGAGTTTATTCTGTAAATTTTGTCTATTTCTTTAGAGAAGTCTACTTTCTCATTAAACCATTTGGTCATTTCTGTTACAATTACATCACTTAAATTATGAATTTGCTGAGAAATTCTTCTAAGTCGCAGAAAATCTTCCTTCTGTTTCAAATCCAATAACAATAAATTTGAGTCAAGAAGATCTAACCTTGTGTCTGTCTTATCCAATCTAATCTGTATATTTTAAAAAATTATTTAGTTTGTTTTAACTCTGACTAATAATTCAAACTTTTTATCAGATTTTTCATTCATCTCTTGTAATGTGTCATGTAACATAGAAAACTTTTTCTTGAATGCTTCCATAAGGAGTTTGGCGCTGGGCTCCTCCAAGTCACGTTTTGATTCCTTCAACTCCTTCTTAGGCATTTTTGTAAATATATACAGTGCCTCTCTTACAACCAGTTGCTGGCAGAAGAAAAGCAGGCAAGAACACACAGTTCCCTTTTCAAGGTCAGATAGAGTGTTCCAAAAGCAAAACTTAGCGGCTAGCAGGGAAAATAATATTGATATTTTCCCTCCTCATGGACTCTAATTGATTTAATAGCACTGGAGGAGTGTGTTGAAATAATTATTCTGTATGGAAGAGGCAAACAGCAACATGTTTTCTTAGACTACTGAGAAAATGAGTTACAGATTTAATTACATTGAGCTTTTATCAAAAAGACTGTACATATTATCAGCCTGAAAACATTGTATTCTTTTATTTTATTTCTCCTGCACTCCGCATATAATTTTCAGCTTTCTATGTTTAAAGCTTAGAAATCTCATTTTTTCTGTCTATTCTGCAAGTTTGTATATCAAGTCAATGTTTGTTCTAAGTAGTCAGTGTGTAGCAATTTGTTTTGTTACCAGTATTTGACTGCTATATTTGGAGCCAGGCATGATCTTGAATATTGATATTTTTGTGTAAGGGGAGGGGGGGTTGGTGGTAAAGTATAATTTGGTCTTTTCATTAAGCCACCTTGGTTGCTGTCTTAATTTGAATTTTTTCCTCTCATTAGACATGTTACCCTGTTTGCACTTGTCTCCTTTTATGCATAAAGAGGAGGAGGACATAAATAGGAGAACTGTACAAGACCAAGATTTGCTATGGCTGTGACCTCATTTTTCTCAGATAGATTATAGTCTGCACTGTTTCCATTTTTTTAAATTTTAGTCTGAGTCTTTTTCTAGTCTCAAAATATTCATCATGCTATAGAGAGCTTCTAACTGGTAAAAGTTAGAACCAGGCCTCCTCTTCCGAACCAGGCTTCGATTGGGCCATGACAATTTCTAACCTTTTTCTTCAGTGTGCTTGATGTTATCAGCTTGAAGAATTCCCAGGTATGTGTAGTGATCATGTTCATCCAGATTCTTGGTGTTATTTCCATAGGGCATCTTGATTCCTTCAGTTTTCACTATTTTTCCCCATTTGATAGTAAGCATGGTACATTTGTTCAGTCCACAACTCCATTGTAATATCTTGCCTGTATATATGGACAATGTTGAGCAGCGATTCTATTTCAGATGGTGTTTTTCCACACAGCTTCAGATCGTCCATGTAAAGGAGGTGGGATAGTCTGGCAGGTGCTTTTGATGTTTGATAGCCATGGCCTGAGTTATTCAGTATTGTTGACAAGAGGAATCCATGCCAAACAATGAGAAACAGTCATGGTGAAAGTGAGTCTCCTTGAAAGATTCCTCTTTTGATATTAACCTCTCTGAGTCTATCACCATTCATCAGTCTCTTCCATTGTGCTTTGCACAAAGCTTCTGATGTTGTAACAATTTGAAAGTTGTTGGTAAGCAGGTAATTGGCCTATAGTTGCCTGGTGCTGCCCGTTTTGCTGGATCTTTCATCAGGTAGGTTTTGCCAGATGGTAGCCACTCTTCAGTTTCACCTCCTTGCTGTATGTTGTAAAAAGTGCTTGGCAACAAGTGGGCATAGGTCAGTTAGCTGTTTCAACCAAAATCCATGCAATTCATCTTCACCTGGTGCTGACCAATTCTTGAACTTCCTTGCCCTTTTCTCCACCACTTCTGTAATTATGACAAGTACTTTCATTTTTTTTATTCCTAACCCCCTCCTTTAACCAAGCTGTGTTCTTGTATTTCTTTGGGTTATCCCATATCTGCGCCCAGAACTGTACTGTTTCTTCCTTGTCAGTTGCTGACTGATTCACTGTAGTCTCTGCCTTGATGGATTGGTAGAAACGTTTCTGATTTGATTGAACTTGGAGATTCTGCCTATAATTTGCAATTCAAGCTTCATATATGCTGAATGTGGCTGTAGCTGTTATTTGCTGCTTTATTATTTCCAGTGATTTCTTGATCTTCGTTGTTTCTAAGTGGTATTTCTTGATTAGATATTCTTTAGTCTTGTTCTTCAGCTTCTTTTCTTTCATCTGTTCTAGCTTACTTTCATCTGACCTCAGCATGCTAATCTTATTTTCCAGCCTGATCTTCCCTTTTGGTGTTGCATTGTTTGTCTTGTTTTGTTCTTTATTGATTTTGCATCCCAGATACTCAGTCACACTGCAGTCATGCTGTAGATTAGTTGGTTTGTTTCTTTCAGTGAGCTGGTGCTTATAGTTGATATTATGTCATTGGCATGTTTTAATGCTTGCGCTAGCTGTTTCTTTGGAGCGAGGGCCAACACAGACACTCTTATTCTGTTGTCTTTGTGCTGTCCTAGATGCTCAGTTATTCTTTGTTTCAATTCTTCTACTTCTTTAGTTAGAGGGCTTTGTTCTTTTGGAGGCAGAGGAGAGGGTGCCTGATTTCCAAATGAAAACAGCTATGCTAGTTCTCCCTCGGTTCTGACCCAAACCCTTTTCCAATAAAACAAACACAAACCAAAGGGAACAGAAACCTTTTAATGATTCTTACGAATCCCCGGTTAAAAGGCTGCTGCAAACTAATTAACTTTGATAAGCACAAGCCTCGCCAAAACTGTGCAAGGCTGCCAAGAATAACAGATAAGGTTACCTAGAAATATTTTACAACACAAGAGTCTTCAAATACCAACTAAGATACTGCAATGTCCACGAGGCTCGAGTTTCAAAATGTCTTTGCTTCCTGCAAAGAACGCCCGAGTCAAAGCTGGCTTTTATCTTCTTGAAGGAGGGGCCATTACCTTGCAGCCTTACTCCCGAGTCACCCGTGCTACTGCAGCTGCTCTTTCCTGGGAACAGCCCTGAGCGCATGCGCACTTGGCACAGGCTCCTCGGGAACCTCCTCATTGCTGCTGCCAGCCCCCACAATCTCTGAAGGTAGCAGTCCACTCCCTAATGGTCCTGGCCCCTCATCTGAGTCCTCGCTCTCCTCAGCCGTCCGCACCTGCTGCCGGCTAACCACAACACCCTCCAGTATTTTGAATGAATATTCTGGTTGACATTTTTGCTGTGACCCTGTGTATGCACCCTATGTTCTTAGATTGTTAATTCATTTACTGGTCTTATGATGAAGATTCTCAATCATCCAGGTAAAATCTGGAAGTTGAGTCATGGCAACTGGTTTTTTCGTTTTTATTTGAAACATTTTGCTGCTTATCCAAGTAGCTTTGAAAGATAAGCAGTGAGACGTTTCAAATAAAAAAAAACAAGAAGTCCAGTTGCCATGACTCCACTTCCAGATTATTGGTCTTACATTGAATAATTTTTAAAATTATTTCTTGAAAGAGAGGAGGAGAGAAATAGTTCTCCAAATGTGTCTGTAAGCAGGGGATAGAGTTACATGTAGACATTTTCTGTTCTACCTTTTCTAAGGCCTTTTTTTCTTGTTTTTCTATTCCCTGGTGCCTTGCCTTGTTTGTAGCAGGTCTTGGTGACATCACACAGCAGTTGAATCAGAGTGAGCTTGCTGTCTTATTGAACTTGTTGCAGAGCCAGACAGACCTAAGTGTTCCACAGATGGCCCAGCTACTGAACATCCATTCAAACCTTGAGATGCAGCAACATCTAGAGGCCCTTAACCAATCAATCAATGCACTCAATCAATGCACTCAGCAACTGCAGGATTCTCAGAAAGTGCTTGAAGAGGAAACAGGTGCTGAGGAACCACCCCCACTAGCCGGTCCCTCTGAGGAGCACACCACTCCAGAAGCAGCAAGTACTCAGGGAGACATGCAAAGCTTCCTGGCAGTTTTGCTGAGCCAAGAGTCTGCAACAAACACAGAGAATAGCAGTGAGAAAAACAGCGATCTGTGGGGGCCACAGAAAACCCCCACTTTGCCTCAGGAGGAAACTGCAGGTAAATAATTGTGACACCCTCTTGCTCCCAGGACTTAAGAGGGGGAAATTATGTGAGTCTTTCCATGTGGTAAATAAAAAACACTTTGAATATTATTTAACCATGCCTGGTAGTCATCTCTGAGTTTGTGTGGAATCTGGCGACATCTTTGGGTTCCTGAAAATACTTGTAAGACCTTGAGCAGGTTATGTACTCTTGTCCCCAGCTCCCCTCATGTGAAAGAATTTTCAGGGTGTAAGTTTGGGAAGTCTTGGCTTGTACCACATTAACTTGAAAAGTGATTGCTCAGATACTCTTATGTCAATTTTCATGCACGTGGAAGCTAGTGTCGTGCTGAAAAGGCTAGGTCATGGTCTTACTCATTACTGCCCTAGCTTTGTGCTTAGAAACCTTACGTTTAGTCTTTCAATGTTAGAAGGCTATGGCTGAAACCTGTAGTTAATGTTATTCAAATTAAATCTTTAAGCCCTTTATGATGGTGAACTTAAAATTGGTGCTGATCTGTGCTGAGGAAAGGATTTCAAAAGAAGCCTTCTCTATTTATGAGAGGACAGATTCTCCCACTGAGACTGAGGCTTGCCCCATCATCTTACCCTTCTTATGGATGAAACTACTGTGGTCTAAACGGAAGTAGAAATGCTAGATGCTTAGTCTGGAAGAGGATACATTTGGTAGAGAGGGTCCATTCTTATTCAGCTATACTGGTTTGGAATATCAGCAGTACTCCAAGGTAACTATGGGGAGAATCCCTACATTTTACCCGAATGGAAATGAGCATCATATTTCTTGATCACTGTACATTTCTTTCTTTGGGGTATTCCATATGAGCTTTGATCACGGGAAGGGCTATTTTATGTTCTACATGGAATTTTCTGTCTATGATATTCTTCATAGTGAAAATATGTTTATTTGATTAAAGGAGTATATTTAGTCATTTTATTTTCAGAGATAGTATTTGAAAATACTATGGGCAATGACTGCTAATTAGAAGATGGAGGGACTTGGCACCATTTTTTCGGGGTGGAGGGGATACCCCTGCCTAGATTTTTGCAACTGACTTATCAGATGTATAATAAGCAGTAAAAAAACAGCGAAATGCTTATCTTGTACATGGGTCCCAGAATTTGGATTACTTTGATGCAGAAATTTGTTTTGCTTTTGTTTACCTCTTTTAAAGCTTTAAAAAAAGCTTTAAAGTATGCACAGCAGTGTCATACTTAGTACTGTTACCCTGATTGGCAGTGGCTCTCAAAGATCTCGGAGAATTTTTGAGTCTTGTAATATGAAGTCCTTTTTATGTCTGATAATCTGGAAGTTATTCAAAGAATGTGCTCTTCCCTAAGTTTGGCTACTTCCTATATATATGTGTCTGAAATGTTTGATGTTTGTTCACATGTACTTATGAGATGGTGTTTAAAAAAAGTAACCATTCCACAGCCTGTCCTCACATTCTCCCACCAGAGAAGAGACCCCCTGAGCCTCCTGGACCACTACTGCTGCCACCACCCAATCTGACTGAGGAAAACAACTCTAGTGCAGCTCAGGAGTTTAACCCGGCTGTGACAGCCGCTCTCCTCCAACTTTTATCCCAGCAAGAGGCAGGGCTGCTGAGCCACCCAAAACAGGAACCCCAAGTTGCAAGGCCCTCCTTGGAATACACCAGGTCACAAACTTCATCCAGGACTTATACCACTGTCGGGCCTGAGAGCTGCAACTTGGATGTTGATGAAGGAAATTTCAACCAGACTGTAACAGAGACATCATCATCACCCATGGGGAAAAGTAGGACCTTCCTGAGTTTCACAAGTCACATCAGAGAGTCAAGCAGTTACCAGAGCGCAGGATCAATTCAATTCCCTGGTGACCAGGACCTACGTTTCACCCAAGTCCCCTTAGGGGTACATTCTGCTGTTGGGCAGTCTTTCATCAAAACTGAAGGGAGTAATAATACACTGGTACACTCAGAGGCCAAAATTCATATCAACAATGAGGTGGGAGTAACAAAGGCTCATTTGAGCAATACAGGTACAAGTCACATGTGGGGAAACCCAATCCAGTCCACTGCTTATGGGAAAGCTTTTTGTGGGCAGAATAGAGTACCTCCCAGAGGAGGAAGAGGGGTACCTTGCTTAAAATGACTGAAGAGGTGGCATGGGGAGGGGTTACCATCTTATTCTCTTGACCTTAGAGCAACTAGTTTGATGGGCAGACCATTGACTATTTACCATAGAAATGGTTTATTGTTGATAACTTTCCCCCTTTTGCTCACCAGGCTGCTGCTGCTTTCTTTCTTTTATGACATCATTCCATTTGATATGGTGAGTTTTGCTACATTGAGATGGGGGGGGGGGGGGAGGAAAAGGAAAGATTCCTTGAAACAAATTGAAAACATTAATGTGCTTGCAAGACTTGAGCCATTATTTCTGACAGCCCACTACAGATCTGAATCCGGTGAATTGGTGTTCTGGTCTATCCATGTTGCAGAATGAGGTCTTAGAATGAGCTGTACTGTTTCAGATAGCAGGTGGGGAAATCCACATGTGGACCAAGAGACAGAAATTTGCCCACTTGCAGGTATAAAATTAATATTGTGGAAAGACATACTAGTCCAGCCCACTGTATTCATTTTCTTTCTAAAGCCAAGACTGCCTTTATGGAAAGAAGATTTGAAAAGTGCAGGTCGACACCTTCAGTCACTTAGCCAGCTCATTGTACAGCTTATGTAGATCTAATCTCAGTATTGCAAAGTCCATGCATGTTTTGTTTTTCCCTTGCCTTCCAAATTTCAATAATTGAGAGATAATGTCTACATGCCTTTTATACATAATTAGGAGAACTTTGTTATATAAGTCTTGGGATATTTTCACCTTTATTTATAGTTCCTTTATGTGAAAAGGCAGGATGCTACATTCTTCCAGGGGTAAGCTGTTTCCTGGTTTACTGTGAAAAGCCCCTTGCTGTTTATGTTCACCTTTCAAACCTTAGCTGAACTAAGTTGCTGTAGTGTCCATGAGTCCACTGACTTGTGGATGGAATGAATTTCTTTTTAATTTTCTCTCAAGAATGGAAAGTGTCTTTTTTGTTAAAGTTCATACAGCCTGAGTGAATTGCTAAAATGAAATAAAAACCATACACTTGGTAATTCTTAAATTCTTGGGGTAGAAGGTATTTAATACTAAAGTGAAGGAAATTTGAATAGGTTTATTTTTCTCAATCTTTAAAAGGTAGAGGCATGTGAAAAAGCAAGTACACCCTCTGAGTTCTATGGTTTTACATATCAGTAAAAAGTAAGTTTACATTTTTACTTTTACAAAGTAAAAACCATCTGGTTCTTAGCAGTTCTTAAAAGTAGGTAAATACAACCTCAGATGCAGAACAACACATGACATATTATACCATGTCATTTATTTTACGAAAAGAAAGCCAAGGTGTGAAAAACTAAGTACACCTTATGATTCAATAGTTTGTAGAACCACATTTAGCAGCAAGAACTTGAAGTAATCATTTTCTGTATGACTTCATCAATCTCACATCTATGTGAAGGAATTTTGGCCCACTCTTCTTTACAACATTGCTGTTGTGGTTCACCAGCAGCAGGTGCGGACGGCAGAGGTCTCTGACAGCGAGGATGAAAGGGAACCAGTCAGGGAGTCTGGTGAGGACTTGGACAAGGGTCCTGTGTCTGATGCAGGCATGGGGCCAGGACTATCGGAGAGTGGGGTGCTGCCTTCGGAGCTTTTGGAGTCTGGCAGCAGTGAAGCAGAGGACCCCAGGGAGCCTGTGCCCAGTGCGCGTGCGCACAGGGCTGCTCGAAGGAAAGACCAGCTGAAGCAGCAAGGGCGACTCGGGAGTAAGGCTGGAAGGTGATGGCCCCTCCCATAAGGGATAAAAACCAGCCCTCGGCAATGTGCTCTTTGCAGGAAGCAAAGAAGTTCTTTAGACTCTGAGTCCTCGTTGAAGCCCTGCAAACTCCGGTTTGTTTTTGAAACTTCTATCAATATTTATCAGTATTTAGACTTCTGTTCTTGGCAGCCTTTTACAACCTTGAAAGGGCTTGCTTTTATCTCGGACAATTAGGTTTAAATGACTCTTGGCTGGGGAATGCAAAGAATTCCCAGCACCGCATTAAAAAAGGTTTGCTTTTATACAGTTTGTGTTTAATTTGAACAAGGCTTGGGTCAGAACAATTGCTTCAGTTCATTGAGGTTTGTGGAGATTTATTTATGCACAGCTCTCTTGAGTTCCCACCACAACATTTCAATTGGGTTGTGGTCTGAACTTTGACTGGGCCATTGCAACACCTTGATTCTATTCTTTTTCAGCCATTCTGTTGTAGATTTTCTGGTGTGCTTGGGATCAATGTCCTGTTGCATGACCCGATGTCAGCCAAGCTTTAGCTGTTGGACAGATGGCCTCACTTTTGACTCTAGAATACTTTGGTATACAGAGGCGTTCATGGTTGACTCAATGACTGCAAGGTGCCCAGTTCCTGTGGCTTGCAAAACAAGGCCAAATCATCACCCCTCCACCACCCTGCTTAACAGTTGGTATGAGGTGTTTGTGCTGATATGCTGTGTTTAGTTTTTGCCAAACATGGCACTGTGCATTATGGCCAAACATCTCCACTTTGGTCTCAACTGTCCAAAGGACAGTGTTCCAGAAGTCTTTTGTTTTGTTCAGATGCAACTTTGCAAACCTAAGTTGTGTTTCCATGTTCTTTTTAGAGAGAAAAGGCTTTCTCCTAGCAACCCTTCCAAACAAACCATACTTGTTCAGTCTTTTTCTAATTGTACTGTTGTGAACTTTAACATGCTGAGGTCTGTAGAGTCCAAGATGTAACTCGGATTTTTAATAATTTATCTGAGCATTGCACGGTCTGACCGTAGGGTGAATTTGCTGGTATGTCCACTCCTGGGAAGATTGGCAACTGTCTTCAGTGTTTTCCACTTGTGAATAATCTTCCTCACTGTAGAATGATAGACTTTAAATTGTTTGGAAATGGCCTTATAACCCTTCCCAGATTAATGGGCAGCAACAATTGCTCCTCTAAGAT